CTTTTTGCATTCCTTTAATTTTTATTTATTCAATTATTATATTTTTACTTGTAGGTTATTTCACTATCATTTCATTTCAGGTTTATTGTTGCTTAATATAATTGTTATTTTCAACTATTCTTTTTTAATTATTCTTTTTTACTTGTTTCAGGGATTTCAAATCATTTTATATAGTAGACAATGGAAGTCCGAACTAGTGAAATTCATCACGAAACATTGTCAATCACCTTCAAACAGAATAGTGGCAGTTGCACATATCATCAAATAATTTTAAAATCTGAATAAACCGGTACATTTTTGAAGTCTTTTTCGAAACATTGATTCTATTTATACAATTTTTATAGAAATATAATATGCACTTCAAATTTGCCATTTTCACCCATTATTGAAAAAATCTGTGTAAGAATGTCCTTTTCGAGCCCTGGTTTCATCTGGTTGCCTGACTGTGGAAGGAAAGACGTGAGGCAACTTCTCGTTCGGGCTATAGGAATGTAGGCTTTCACGGCTGGTGTCAATGTTTTGGTTGGTTTCCGGGAAAGGAAGAGGAAACATCTACTAAAGATCTGGCACACAGCATTGAAAAGCGCCAAACGAAGCCAATTCAACCAAATCGCAGGGGAAGTACGAGCAAAACTGCCATTACAGAAAGTGCGCGAAAAACTAGTACTAGGAATGAGATGTTCAGTTTCAGTTGACACGTCAAGAAAAATACTTCGACCACGCCACTGAAGATGACTACCGCAATTGCAGTTGAAACGTTTGGAGATTATAACCGAAGAAGGCCACGGCAGAACCCGGAGACCAACCAAAACATTCCCGTTCGGTGGTCGATGTCGAAGCTCAGCATTGCGACTAACTTTTCTTTATTGTAGATAAGTAAGGTTTGAGTCTTCTATCAATCTCATAGATGGCGTTATCGTAAGTAGAGATGTCAATGCTCGCACAGAATTGTTTTTTAAGGACAGTTGAGTCCAACGAACAGTTCGTAGTCCAGCGCAGAGCCATTGATAAGACCTGAAACTTGGAAAAAGTGAACTAGTTTCCAGTAGTCCCCACCCTATGTGTTATGTTAGATTTGTTCAAGAGTTTTTTTTCGCAATATTTTCAATCAATGAGATCATAATAGAATATTTCACCTAATTTTTGTTGTCTTTACGTTGAATGGAATTCAAAACTTCGTCTTGTAAACTTTTTCAGGAGGCTTTCAAAGTTTTCAACGACTCCAAGCAGCTAAGAGGCGGCTGCAGAGGCAAGGAAGAGTACAAGAAATGATTAGGGCCCGCGCACAACTGCAACAGGAAAGAAATGCTAGACAAGCTGCAGAAGGACAGGCTAAAGAACTTGAAGCTGTTGTAAAAGAAGAAGCTAAAAAACTGACAGAGTTGGAGCAGTTGAGAGTGAAGTTGGAGAAATTATTGGAGGAAGAAACGCAAGCGAAGAGAGACGAGGAAATAGTAAGGGCGTAAGTATAACAAGTTTTTTTGAATTAGAAACTAGGATTTTTTGACGAATAAACAGTGACCTCATGGTAACAATTGGTTATAGAGTCTTGATTAGAAGAATGCATTTTCTCACTGAAGAAAACAATCATAAGATAATGATATCACGGTTATTGGAAGGGTTTGAAAATTATTTGATGATATGAAACATAAAAACCATCCCACATACTACTTTGAACTTTTTGTACATATTTATATATTTCAGATTACAAGCTAGAGTTTTGGCAGAGGAATGGGAAAAGAGGGAAGAACTAGAAACCCTACAACAAGAGCAGAGACTGCTCTTGGAGGAGGAAAGACAGAAAAGAAGAGAATACGAGGAGCGTCAGAGGGAAAAAGAAGAACAACTTAGAAGTGAGTGTGTTATTTAAAATATACTTATATTGTTTTTATTTGGTAGGTGAAAATATTGAAAATGGTTCAACAAACCTTTTTTTTCACAAAAAATACGTTTACTCAGTAGATGATTTTCACTTACTTCAAGCATTATAATAAACGATGACTTGACTGCTGTTACTGAGTGAGAACTGTTCAATAAAATGTCTCACACAAAAGCCGCATGAACCATTTTACTTTTATTCTGATGCATGGGGTCCGAGAGAAACCTTTATCATATCCTTGTCTATATAGCTGGTTGATAGGCATAGAATTTCTTAACCCTAGTTGCAGGCTCTGATGCTGTGGGCCTGACACAATGATTTATTAATCTGTATCTTTCAATATAACGTCTAGACACCATTGTTGTCATATAGTGAAAAAAATATTGAATCTTTCACATAGAGTAAAAAACTGAATTCATTGAAACTATATAGCTCATAAATTGAGACAGTTACAACCTAGTAAGTAACGGAATATTCTTCTTGGGCGAAACCAGTATCGTTCCAGGAAATAATTTTGAAAACATATGAAAGTATCTAGTTTTTCAACCAGTCGGTTGAAATGGGTCAGAATATAGTTGTCTCCGATGGAATGATAAATTTTCTACTCTCAAACCTCAAAATGATACATACTGGCTTGTCATAAGGTAGGAACACGATTTTTGGTCCCAATGATCACCCACAATGCAGGAAAACGTTGTCATTAGTCGATGACATGTCCACCATACGGATCAGAAATTAGGACAGAGGGTATATTTCTCAAAATCATATAAGATGAAACAATGTTTCTTCATCATCTGTAGAAGAAACCTTAAAATGATAAATGGTATTTTGATATCGTTGACTGGTTTACAAAAAATATGGTTTATAATATGGTGTGTATTCGTTGATGAATCATCTTGTATGAACACTTATTCTCATCTAGAGCAAACTTCTTCAAAATTTCCAAAAATAGGAAATACAGTTAGTTATATCCTGTTTTTTTCTCGTCATATTCACCGAAAAATAATTGGATAATCAGAAACATTTATTCCATAGTCTGTAATTCATAGAAAAACATCTACCAACACTAAATTTGATCGTGAGGCCCATAAAAAATCAAATGTGGGTTTGTTACAGTTAAACGTAGGCGCTTATATTTATTTGATGTATGTGTCTGTTTACGTAAACTAAAGATCAAGTATAATCAAGAAAAATATGAAAAATTAATTTGTCTCAATTCTTCAGTACCTAATAGTTGACTGACTGAATTGTTCAAACAAACTTGAAATAATAAACATGACAGTGAGTAAAATATATGGTGAAATCATCATTTTGTGTTTATACGCTTGAAAAAATTTTGATATATTTAGTAAACAAGGTCATGAATTCATTCTATCGATTATATGAAATGTCGACACGGCTTTGAATATAGAAATTAATGAATTAACAGCTTCCAAACAGGTACTTTTTTCAAAGACAAAACACAAGCACTACAGGAAAATCCTGAACGGTGCCTGTGCGAAAGTAGCGATTCACATTATATTTGAATCGCTGAAGATTCAATGATCACTTACCCCACGGTGTGGGGAGTGGTCATTGGTTGATAACGCTGGCGCGCCCTCCCGAATATATCGGGGCTTCGGGGGATAGGGCCTGACCAGCGCACACTACAGTGAAAAAAAATAATAATAAGAAAAGAGGAGATAAAACGGATTGAATATCGAGATTTTCTCTTCGAACTCCACTGACTCTATCCAGATCACTCTGTCAAGATGGTTGTTCTGATTATTGGAGTCCTTGGTGGAATGATGTCCTCTCTACTCTCGAATCTTAAAATCATACCGGCTTGCCGCACTGAGTCAGAAATCTTAGTCGCATAGATGCAGAAGGCTGTCATTCTTGGCTCACTGCGCTTGCTCAGGGTACATGATTCTCGGACCCAGTGATCACTTACCCCACGGTGTGGGGAGTGTCATTGGTTAATAATGCTGGCGTGCCCTCCCAAATGTATCGGGGCTTCGGGGGATAGGGCCTGACCAGCGCACACTACGGTGAAAAAAAAATAATAATATAATTTATTGTCATTGAGAATGAATCTTGTAGACAAAGCTTGTGAAAAGTACTTACAAATGTAAGTATAGAAAAGTAAAGTAAAGAACATACACTATAGTTCAATATCGAAATTTTGTTTCAACATGGTTGTGTACAGACTTGTTTGAAACTATTATTAACACTTATATAATCTGAGGGCAAGTGACCCTATTGTAATAAATAGAATTCCTGACCAAATTTGTTAAAGGAATTGCCAATTTCAACGCGGTAGAGCGGGTGCTATAAGAATGGCATGAAGCGTCAAATAGGGACATATTTTTGTAAATGAGGCAAACCGTTTCCAAAATAAACAAAGCAATCACTGTTAAAATCTTTTGTTCAGCGAATTTGTGTCTGCATGAATCACGAGGTTCAATTTAACACATATACCTGATAGCCCGTTTCTGCAGTACTAATACAGACAGAAGTGCTGATGAATTGCATATTCCCCAAAACGGTATTCCATTACGTAGGTGGGATTCAACGAGAGCGTAATACACCGTTCTGGCAGTTTTGATTCCCAAATTTATTGAAGTTACTCTCACTGCATAACATGCAGAACAAATTTTACTTTTGAAATGTTTAAAATGCTCAACAAATTTGTGAATACCTAGAAATTTAGATTGAGTCTCGTTCCTGATCACTAAGTTATCACCGAATGGCAGGTCATCAAGAGCACATCTAAATGATAAAATGTTTGTTTTAGTGATATTGAAGTAAAGCAAATTAGCATCACAACACTTCTTGATTTTTTCCATATCAGTAGATATTGCATTGTGTAATACATTTGAGTTTTTGTTGTCATCAGCGAAAAGAGTAAAATTTCCAGAAATGCTCAAATTTGCAATGTCATTGACATATAATAAGAATAAGATGGGCCCCAAAACTGATCCTTGTGGAACAACACACAAAATTTCCTTTTTTTTCCTGAAAGTCCTGTTGTTGTTACCATTTGATTCCTTCCTGAAAGGTAAGATTCAAACCATTTGATCGTCATTTCTCTGCAGCCGTATTGGTGAATTTTTCTTAGCAAGATCTTATAATCAACGCAATCAAACGCTTTAGAAAGATCACAAAAGACCGCAGCTGCTACACTACCAGAATTAAACTTGGAGTAAATATCATAAAGAAACGAAAAGATGTCATCGTGCGTGTTTTTATTGCTTTGAAAACCGATCTGGCTTTCACTTGAAATATTGTGGTGTTGTAGGTAGGACGACTATTGCAACCGTAAAATGGGCGAAGCGCGCGGTACGTTGCCCGAACAGAACACCCATTTCAATAAAACAATTTTATTAATTTTACGTGTTGTTGAATGATATATTCGTTCACGGTGATTTGGCCAAACAGACTCTATAAATGACAAATAATTTGACAGATGTAACTTCAACTAGATGGCCGTTATCAATTGTCAAAGTTCGTAAGTTCCTGTTGGAAGACTCTTCTTATTTGTATGTGTGTATGTTTGTCTGCACATTTCTCCAAAACTACACATTTTAATTGCTTGCATCCACTACACCTTAGGAAACAGTGCAAGTTTCATCAAAACTGGTTCAGTAGTTTCCAAGATATGAACCAATACAGATAAGTGTGTTGGCCTAGCTTGTTGATTCGAGCTTCTGGTATAGTGTCAAAAAAAACAATTTGAAACTTTTTTCAAACTCTTATGCATCTAAAAAAAGCAACTAACTGGCCTCATGGTAAAAATCCGCGGCGAGAATTACATAATCAATAATGAGATTGACACGCAATACGATACGAGTTAACTGAAAATTGTAAAATTAAAAGCAATTCAACTAATAATGATAATACAAACATCAAAGTAACCAACAAATCAAAATCAAAAGTAGTTATATACGAGATAAATTAGGGGTCGCCAGCACTGAAGAAAAGAATCCGCTTTCCACCTACTTTTGAATTCGTTTCATTCCGTGTAGATACACATTATTTCATACACTCTGGATAATTTCTTCTCTAACTCGATCAAATCAACCAATTGAAAACACTTCCCCAACACCAGAACAAAAATTTCGGTCTCTCGACCGTTAGCGTTTCGCTAACCAAGTTTGCGTCCTCAGGAGATCATTATGACTAAATTTTACTACGTCAGTATTTTCATATGCTAGAAGCTCAACTACTACATCTTAGTATCGCCTAACTACACTGATTAGCATTATCTAACTACTACCTGTTTTCAAATACCTCTAATTTGTTATGTTAGTGGTTATCTCTAATATTTATCTGTTTTTCATAGGGCTGTTCGGAATAGGACCTTTGTCGCTATTCATAGAACTCATTTCGCACTTTTCCATTTCCAAGCTCTCAAAGGCATCCAGAAATATGTTGTCATGTACCGGTCTCAACGATTTCAAACATTTCTCACTTATTCTATGATCGTTCTATATGGCATGTTGAGTGACACTAATTTCTCCGGTCTATGAAACTGGACATGCGAAACATGTTCCTTGCAGTGAGCTTATATAGTCACACATGCGAAAAAGGGAAAATGATGAATCTGTTGGAATCTATGGAAATAAACAAGTCAAAGAAAAATCAAAATTCTATTGTCCTCAACAAACAACTTGATCTAAATAATAGTCCTTTCCTGAATCTATAATCTAGTTCCCAAAACCTACATTCTATCAAAAGCTTTATTTTGTTATGTTCATGGATATTACAGGTATACAAAATGTAGGTACCAAATTATTTATGATAGGATAGGCAACTTAGGTATAAATTACTCAGATTTAAATGTAATCAGTTAATTTTGAAAATGGTGTAATAGCCGAAACTAGTCAACAATAAAGAAATATCGTGAAAAATAGACAAAAGTGTGTTTTTGTAGTGTATCCTCAGCTAAAATAGTCCGTTTGGTTTGACCAATATACTTCTTATCACAATCCTTGCAGCTTATTTCGTAAATCCCAGACTTTTGTTTTTCGGACTTGTTGAAGTGTACGTGCAGTCTTGAAAACCACTCTTATATTCAATTTCTTGAATATTCAGACCAACCCATTGGTTTATTTGGGTTCATACAGAAGCACTATGAATTTTGAATCTTTCTCTTCTCGAAAAGTCGAGGCATTACGAAGATGCTCCCTCATTTTTGTTTTCTAATTAATTTATCCAATATGCTTGGTGGATACCTGTTGCTTTCAACCACCTCCCTAAAAACTTTCTTCTCAATCTCATACCTTCCTTTGCTCAAGGGAAATGTGAGCAGTCTATGGACAAGAAATTGAAGTCCCGCCATTCTTTATTGTGGGCAATGATGGATGCTGTCAAAGTATATACCTGAAAGTGCTCGTATTCTTTCAATATACATCAAACTCTAGACCCTTTTCGACATTTTTAATAACTAGTACACCCAGGAATGGTAGTTCTTCGTTATTTTCAATTTCATACGTGAATTTTATACTTGCAAGTCTGTTGTTGAGGAAAATACGAAATCCTCTACCTTACTCCTGAATCGATTTGATCATTTAACAGGTTGTATTCGCAAATTATATCAATTTCCCTAGCTAGATTGTTAGCAGACAAAGGCAGTGAGAATGCTGTGTGCAACATTGAATTGTAGGCTACTAATTTATGATTTTCTGGATGGAAAAAATTGCTTGGGATGGTGATGTCTGTATAGCTAGGTTTTCTGAAAATATTGAACTCGAATTTATTGAGATTGTGTGTAATGGTCACGTCTAAGAAATGTATCTGTTTCTCTATCTCTGTTTCGAGTGTGAACTGAATGTTGCTATTGAGATTATTCATGAATGTCATAAATTGATCCAGCTGTCGTGTAGTACCTCTGAAACAGGCGAGAATATCATCTACATATCTGTACCAAAAATGAATATGTTTTTTACCCAGGTCGGAATTTACTATAGTGGTCTCCAAGCTGTTCATAAATATGTCTGCTGAAAGTGGACCGAGGGGTGAGCCCATTGGTAAACCTAGATCCTGTTTATTAAATTTGTTATTTAACTGTAGGTAGCTCTGATTTAGGCGCACATCGAAAGTTGTTGAAACTTCAAAGGAAGTGCTATGGTCTACTTTTGATTGATGTAATATATAAAAAATGAGAGAATTACACTTGTTGTACGGTGTGTTGGAGAACATACTCTTTACAACGAATGAAACTAAAATTGAATTATGTGGCGTGGTTTGGTTCCTTATGTTTTCTACTAAAGTCAGTGAATTTTCAATGCTGTGAGGTGGGAAGAAATTGGTAATGATTTTGAACAACTTGTTAAGACGTATTCCTAGTTCTCTTACCGGACTATTTGTATACGAAACTACCGGTTTTATGGGGTTATCCTCTTTATGTGTTATTATCAGGCCATATAGGTACTCAATAAAGACAAGTACCTCTATTATTACCTACAGGGTTACCATTGTTAGTTCAATGTATAAGTTTGAAAATGTCCTTATAGGACGAAACTGCAGTAACGTTAGTTACAAATAAAAGTGGTTAAAACATAGAAAGTTTTCAATTATTTCTTTTTCATTACCATTCATTTCATTTGGCTCTTCTGTCTCCACAACTGAGTTTTCACTACATAAAAGGACGTGGATAATTTGAACCCTGCATATTTTGGCATTTTTCATTGTTAGTTGTTGTTAAACGCATTCATAATTTGACTTTAAATTATCTTACCTGTCGAACACTGTTTGCTTTTCAATCCACAACTATTTAAAAATATGAATTTTATTCGAATCCATTCAAGATACTCAATTAAAAACGATTCCACGTATTCGAATGTAATCAACAATTCCGTTCAATTCTGTAATGAGAGTATCCTGTTTGTTTAACACAACAATACAATTTATAAAATTATTTTACAGATGCCGAGGAACGACTTGCCCAACTTGAGAACGAACGACGAGATTTAGACAAACAGCTCAAAACAGCGAATGAAAAAATGAAGTTTGCGGAGGACAAAAAAGAGCTACTCGAAGCGAAACTTTATCAGGTCGCTCCAGTGCTGAGAGATGGAGACAGAGTAAGGAGGGCTCATTCCTTCGTTCCGAGCACTAAAGAGAGACCCGTTATTTTGGAAGTGCGTTCTGCAACTCTGAAGAGAACCAACAATAAATCCTGATCTATATTTTGTTATAGGTCCAATGTTTCGAGATGTTACATTATTGATTTATTGAAAATGCCAATTATTTATTTTTTTGAAATTCTTTCTGTATGCATTTTTTATTATTGTAGATAAATATTTTATAAATGATATTTATTCGTAGATTCATAACAAAACTATTTTTCTATTGTACAAGGCGTCATCCCTCCATTCCAATACAAACCGAAAGTACATTGAAAACTACACCATATACTAACGACTCTTTGGCCTAATCCTACCACTAATGAATTTTGTTGTTTCTCGAGAAGACCAAGGAATGGACGACATCTAGGTATTTGAACGTCAACGTCTAGAAAAACATTGATTACTTTCATAATACATGTTTTCATTTCAACTTTCCCAAAAAACAAAATGTGTATAAAAAACACATAAACATATTCAAAGATAAATTGTCAAATGTGAAAATACTATCCATTCAATAAATATTTTTTGTACTTTGAATTTTAGAACAAACTTTGTTTTTAAACTTGGCGACAGCTCATTATTCAACATGAAACGTTTCCTAATTTTCATTTTTGGTTTGTTTGAATGTCATTCCTGAAATACTCTCGTGATAATTATGAATGAAATGATTTTCAGTGAATTTCAAACTGCTGAATTTTTCATTTATAATGGTATGGTGAATGAAGAAACAAATTGCCAAATAATAAAATGAATCGAAATTCATTAAGCTTCTCAGTTTATACAAATTTTCGATTGTCGAATTTCATTTCGAATTTGCTTCTCAGTTTTAACCAAACTTAGGATCTCTTGTTACATTCATAATCGGAGAAAGCCTATTAACTTTCGCACTATCTATTTCCACTCTGGATAGGACTTGCAAACAGTATTGTTATCAGNAATAGGTGAAATTATTTCCAGTCCGTTTTGAAGGAGAGCTGGAAATATGCCATCCTCTCCAGGAGATTTGACCAACCAGAATCTAATTTTTATTACTGTAACTTCGGAAACCAAGCACACCGACCTATATTGTCTGTTACAGTTTCTGTTCAAGATAATGAGGATAAAGTTTTTTGAACTCTAAAATTGATTCCAGGAAACTTTTGAAAGAAGTTAACAATAGGAAAGATAATAATCAGGGGATTTATTTTTTATTTATGTTCAAATAGTTGATGATATTATATCTTCTGATAGCTTGAAAAGA